AGAAATATTCATTTGTGATGTGATCTTGGATCATCTGATGAATATTTCTTTCTTCTCTTCGAAATCAAATCAATAGATGAACAGAACTATGATGAGAAATATTCATTTGTGATGTGATCTTGGATCATCTGATGAATATTTCTTTCTTCTCTTCGAAATAAAATCAATAGATGAACAGAACTCTGCTGAGAAATACTCATTTGTGATGTGATCTTGGATCATCGGATGAAACTTGCTGTTTTCTGGTCGAAATGAGCAGAATAGGTGAGCTAATTCTTTGGGTTAATTTTATTCCGTTTCCGATTTTCATTTGTGTGATGCTTTGACTCTTAACTTTGATTCGAAATGAAGAAATAGCTGAATAGGATCGGGCTGAAAGATATTCATGGATTAGAGACTTAAGAGTTTATGTGTAATTTTTTTCTTTGTTTTTGAAAACTGTGAAGAATTGTTGAATGATTCCATCATTATATATGTTCTTTTATAATCCATCTTTGCGAAAGTTTGGATTCGTAGGTGTTGTATTGAAATGAGTAGAGTAGATGAACAAAGTAATTTATGTTCATGCAAAAAGTAAAATTGAAAATAACTCGGCTAATCTTAGCATAAATTTGTTTTTAACGGAGCATGGTAATTTTTGACTGTTTGTATTTTGAAGGAGAAATAAAGACGCTGAATGAAGGTTGAAATTCATGGATTTTTCAAAGCGTAACAAGATGATTGGTTTTTCTTTTTGGTAAGGGTGTGGTTCGATGCCCATCTTTTTCTTCACACGCACCACTCAATAGGCACACTCCCAGCTATATCTACGTGCTTCCTAAGACGTTTGTTGATCCTGTATGTTGTGGTCTATGGTATAGTGAGGGGAAGAGGTGCAAGTTTCTACTCTATGCACTACAACACTACTTATAGATTGTTATTTCTTACAAAAGTAATATACTCATTATCAGCGAATTTATTGGAAGCAAATTTTAGATAATGGGTTGTTAAAAGCAGTAATAAGTAAAAGTGATAAAAAATTTTTGGCAGTTATATGTTTACCACCGAATATAGCTTGAATAATCTGTTGTGCTCTTAAACAATAATTTTTTGGTTTCTCTAATTGTAATTATTGTTTCACTGTGATATTTTTGTTTTTTCGAATCAATTTCAGCAATAAATTTCATACAAATATCATCTAAATTGGAATAAACATCACATACTTCAGTATGATTTGAACCTACAGTATTGTAATGAATTTGTAATGCTTGTCTCACATGTGTATATGCGATTTGGTAATCATTTATCATTACATATGAAACACCAAGAGAATTAAGAAAAATTCCATATTTTTGTTTATCATTGAACTTTCTTTCAATAAAAATGAATGGCCTGCTGATAAGTACCCATACAAAGAAAGACAAACAATCATTAATCAAATTTTATCCTGCATAATAACTAATCAAGTTGATGTTGAATTTTTTCAATATTGTGTAGATTTTCTAGTACTTCCGAATGTTGCAAACGAATTTTTTTCCCCCATTAGCTATTAATGAACGTTGAGAAAGTTGTAATTTTCGATAAATATCAGCTAAATTACTGCAATAAATACTCAATTGATAGTGTTCTTGATCACAGTCAAATGTGTCATAGACTATTTCAATAGTAAGCCTATAATATTTTTGTGCATTATCATAATCAGCTTATTTTCTTTTTTAAACTAAACCCATAGAATTAAGTACTTTAACTACTGCCATATGATTGTTCTGAACAAGTTAATGTTTCTTTATAACTAGCTTCAGCTGTTTTGAAATCACTGCTAAAAAATTTAAAAAAAAATTGTCTTAAAGAATTTCTATAGTTTTCGATAAATACGTGTTACCAATATTGGTAAGACAAATTCCAATAGTTGAATGTTCTTTTCTATAGTAATATTTTGAAAATTTTAACGCATTTTTCCTTCTTTTTTAAGTAATAGTCCAATATTATGCATAGTGTCAACAACTGTTTGATGATTTTGTTCATAGAGTGATTCAGTTTGTTTAAGAGATTTAAAATAGTTCTCTTGCTTCATCATAATTGCCTCATTTACGATGAATATCTCTAGATTTAAAGATAAATTATTCAATAAATAAATCGACAATAACAAAATATTTTACCAGAAAGATTTGAGGTATGAATGTCGATCTGAGATCTAGTCTTCTCTTCATCCATACTCTTGATATTCACTTTCCTTATGCGATAATATTGATTGAACTGCATTTTATATGTATACAAAACGCAAAATCAATAATTAGCAATTCTATGTTTTGTGAACACATCCTACTTCGGATAAAATATTTTTTTTCAACAACCTCTCCAAAAGGTTCGAAGGTTTGAGCCACTGTTATATTATCTGTATTTGAGAAAACTATTGAATTCTTCTGTTGTTTTTTGACCCCTGAATTCTAAGTTAAATATCGAGTTACGAACTAAAAAATCTAATTAAAACAGTATAAGATAAACTATTGCTTTTGTGGGTTTTATTGAAAGAATATACAACTATCCAATGAAAAACTAATATTCTGCAAGGGTTTAGGATTTTAGTACACATTAAATGTAAAACAAAAAAGAGAATAATTTATTCAACATCATAGTTATTTCATATTAATGTTATAATAAATTAAACGCAAAGACGAAATCTTGATATTTGAATATAAAATTGACTATTTGAAAAACGAGATTGAATCATAAAACGATATGATT